TTGTACTAAAGATTTAATGAAATAGAGTCAAATTTTAATGCTGAAATGTGTGGTAATAACACTAACTCTTGCTTAAGTTTTGTTATGTTTCGTCAATTATACTTGCCAAAATTAGATGTTGAAGTTCGAATTGTCACTTTGAGGGGTTTCAACCAAACCTGAAACATCAACTCGACTTAAAAGTGTATGCTTTACTTCGTATTTTTTTGAACGCGGAAAACCAGGTTTCTTATTTTATTGGGGTAAGCGAGAGAATGCTATGGGACAGTTCTAGCCCCCATTGAGGCACACTGTGCCGAAATTTTGAGATTTACCACTTTAAAAAAGATCTTACCCTTAAGTAGGGCGCTTTTGTAACCTTGACAGCGTATGATGGATTACAAGTCCAAGGTATTTTAATCCCGGATAAAGATCTTTTAGCCTCAGCATAAGAACATGGTGAGGTACCCAACGAATTGCAAAGGAAAATTTAAAATTTAATACAATGCCTTTGGCAGGCAAGGAGACAAAAAGGTTACAAAAGTGCCCATCTTACGTCTAGAGAGAGAGAGAGAGAGAGGTCTTGTACCCTTGTTAATTCTCATGGTAGACATATGATTCTTTTATGTTGCTTATCAAACATCTAGAATAGTTCAGTCATGTGTTACTGAAATGTTCCCTTTTTGATGAGAAAATTTGGGTTTACATTGTATGCCAATTAGGACCAATCTCTCACCAATTAAAGACTGGGTCATGGTTTTCATTTTCTATTGTATTTGGTCTAATGAATATTAATGATTTGTAACAAGTCTTAAACATGTTCAAAGGGTTTTGATGAGTGAAGGAATAATTACTAAGTGTCCATAACAAAGTTTTGAACAGTAATATTTTTATTCAGGTGCAACCACTACAGCCACAGAGTCATAATAAGAATATGATTATAGTTTTCATGAAAAGTTCACAGTTGTGCTGTATATTCATACACCTTGAAATGAACTAACAGAATCTATGAAAAATTTTTCTTCTTTCAAATCTAACTCAACATGTAAATTGTAATGTAGATTTATTTTTAAATATCTTGACCCTTGCAACAGTAATATTGGCTCTCTGCTCACAGGGTATTGTAACAGTAACAAATTTTAAACGGTATTTTCAATTTGGTCCTCTCAATGCTGCTAAGTGCCTCACTTATTATGACTCTGAAAATTCTGCCAAAACGTTTGTTGCAGGTTGGAGTTTGTTTCATAATTGAAACCAGTCATAAATAAATAAAAAAGTACAAACTGATTATCAATCTTTCCATAGACCAAAAATGTAAAAAGGTACCCACTGATTATCAATTTTTCCATAGACCATTGAATTATTCCAGTTCACAGGATTTTGAGAATCACACTAAAGTAACCTATTGTACTCTAAATCAACAAGAAAAGGTCATGCCACAAAGTCAAGAGTGTTGTCACTTAAACCATGAAACTTTAATTCCATGATTTTATGTGCATGTGTGGTTTAACTATCACACACAGTCCGGAAGAGGAATTTATATTTCACAGGCTCAGTGCTTTCACTTGAAATATGTTAATGATTGCAGGTAAACTGGAGACATGACTTCATGAGATGCATAACCACAAATATATGCTTATGGTATGATTTTAATTCATTGCAACAAAAGCCTTCCCCCTCCCCTCCCCTTCCCTCGTGGTCTTTTAGGCATACCCAAACCCTTTGCTATTTGATATGGCAACTGTCGTGGAATCCTTAAATGATTGGTATGATTTGTGTGTAACAGGTAAGGCTAACACAAAGCCACAGGTATTGGCTTTTGGAAAATTTGAATGTTTTCCATCCTTCTCACGTTCATGAAGAAATTCAATCTTGACAAGGCAACCTAATGGAGGAACTTCCTTACATCCTGAACTGAAAAATAAGAGGTCACTAAAAGACACTTCTGTTTCACCCTCTTCTATGTCTTGTAAATAATCATTCCAATGGGATAAAATAAAGTTTTCCAATTCCCTTTTGTTCGACCCTTTTTCACTAAAAGTACCGTATTTCTTCACCTATAAGCCGAGCGATTTTTTCAGTTTTCGACCCAAAATTTTGGGAGATTTTTCACGGAGAACGGGGTTCGGCTTATAGCCGAGGGTTTTACATTTTAAAAATATACAGTTGCTGAATAACTTTACCCCCCCGGCTTGTAGTCAAGTTAGCAATGAAGCAGAAGTAATAAAACACAACAAAAATAACTTCTGAATATTGGTTATTCACTTTTATGAAATTGGTGGCTCCTAAAGGAGCCGTTTGACGGATACGTGCAAGGGCTTTCAACCCAATGGTTTACTCGCCATCCGTTTCGTTTTCGCTGTCTGTGTCGAACTCGTTCTCTTCTATGTATTCATCATCTACTTCTGGGGTTTCCTCAGAGTAATTTAGAACAAGCACCTTGACCCACAACAACACAGAATAATTTTGTAAACCACAATGAGCTTAAAGAAAAATATAAAGAAGTTGCTTATTTAGGAAATATATGGTACAGATTTTCCTGTAAGTTGCCTTAAGTAAACTTTAACTTTTAGGGCTTGCTTGATCAGGCCTTAACAACAAAAAAAAAATCATCCAATGTGTAGCATATGAAAAAGCAATCTTAATTTTTGTAAATCGCAAGGCTTGAGATAATCGCTTGTAACTTTGATAATTCGTGTTTGATCACCACAAAATTTGATCCAAGAGTCTCAAACATTTAAGAAATTGCTCAATGCCTTAATTCTTGTAAAACTGCACTTTAAAATGATAGAGCAACTCTCAGCCTAATACAATGTAAATACATGTACATGTACCCAAAGGCCACAATAAATTTGAAAATCGAAAATCTAAAAATTTGTTCCAAACAAAATAATATACTGATTGAAAAGCTAGTAACAAGTAATATAGCACTGTATACCTCTTTGCAGTATCTTCTTTATGAGCCATCAAGTCTGCGAGGTCACTGGTCATTTCCTTCTGGCTGCTGTGACACACTGTTACTGCACCTTTTCTGAAGAGTGTGCTGTGGATTGGTCCTGCAATTCCAGCCTTTTTCCAAACAGACTGAATAGCTTTGCTAATTTGGCCTGATTCCAATTTCTTTCCATTCCAAGATGGGAACAATGGTTGTTCTTTCTCTGCTGTAATATATGGCAGCTTTGATCTCACTTGTTTTATAAAGATACTGATCCAGTTTTGCAGATTGCTAGTAAGAATGACTTGCGCTGGGCCGTGGACATGAAATGTTTTATGTTTCATAACATTCATGATGAATCTGTCATCTTCTTTGTAACCGCGTTCAAATTCTTTCACAGTCATGTTTGACAGCACTCCTGCCCGGTTTGCATTGTCGATCGAAATTTGGACGAGAAGAAAGTCCCTCAGAAGAGTATAGTGACTTTGGGTGATCTCAATACTGTGTGCTCCACTCAATTTTCCCAGCAAAATGACAGCATCCCTGGCAGTCTGACTTCTTTCAAACTGCTGGATTTTTTCAGGTGTAACAAGTTCAACCCTGTCTTCTTCCATCTTTTCCCACTTTCTTTTCTGGCTAGATCTCTTGTAGGAAGAAGACCATCTCTTTACCTTTTCTATCATCTGAGTAACCAGCTCGGTTCTGGCATCAATTACTGGCTTTTCTGCTAAAACATAGCTGTAGAAATGACGCAGGCTCATGAAGTACGATTTGATTGTTTGAGGGACGTAGTTCTGTTCCGCATACTTTACGAATTTGTCATTCAGTAGGGAGCAATCGAAAAGCGACATTACCCTTCTTTCAGCATCAATCAGAGATAAAATGTTTTTTATCTGTGACACATGTTGTTTTGCTGTTTTCTCATCTTTTTTACCTCCATCCGGTGATTGTAACCAATTGGCAAGCATGACTAACACTTCAGGGTCAGGACTCTTGCTGCTATCCACATCATCTTCAATTAAAATCACATCACATGTGGTTGAAGTCTCAGTTTGTTCAAAATCTTCCAAGTCCATTTCTTCATCTTCATCATTTCTCACAGTATCCAGTACAGGTATATCAGGCATAGGTGGTTCAGTTTCAATTCTCTTGATAGCAGCAGCTCTCTTTTCAATCATCTGAACTGAATAGGGCCTTTTGGGTTGTGGAAGAGCTTTACTTAACAAGGCCTTGTACTTTGATGACTTTGGACTGAAACCATGAACAGTTTGCAAATGTGCAGGTAACCTTTTGACCACTGCAGAACACCCTACCATTGGACAACATCTCTTTTTGTGGTAATCCTTGTTGCACCTCTTTTGCCCATGCTCATCAGCATTTGTTTTCCCTTTCCTATACCCAGGAGCTGCACTCTCTGCAGTTGAAAAGGAATATTTCTTACGTAAATTAAACCGCAATACTGCAGCACGAGCTTGATGTTTTGGCCAATCATGCACTTTTAGCAAATGCCTTGGCAGATGAAGAACAATCTTATGACAGTAGGGTACTGGGCATTCTTTTTTAATCCTCGCTTTGCTTGGACGCTTTCTCTTTTTAGACTGGTCTGATTTGTTCACATTGGTATTGGCTGATTCCTCTTCCACAATTTCTTCATCTGAATCACCTCGCACCATTTCATGACCTGAAGATTTATCACTACTTTCATCACTACTTGACTCCTCATCCTGGTCTGGATTATACTCTGATTCATCTCCGTCCTCTTCGCAAGACATGTCATGTGTCCACGACTTCCTCAAAGCAACAGCTTTTTGGGATAACTAAAATAGTAATCACATATTAAAACCCACTATTATGTTAATATACATGTACAATGTATAAATTCAAGTGTACCATGTACATGTAAGAAGGTTAGCTATTATGAAAACCACTGGGGAACTACCGGTACGCCTGAAATAATATTAATACATACATGTACATTGTGTATATTAAGTTTCAGTTGGCAAAAAGGAAAGGCAAAGAAGACAAACTTCCAGACATTCTCAGCAATAAAGAGGGTCCTTTTGTTCACCTGGTGAAAGGAAATGACTGTTCAAGGTTTAAAGCAACTTAAAACTGGGCAGTTAATGATATATCTCTGCCAATTCTTAGTTTAAAGCTAATAATCGGTGACTAATCAGTTG